CATGCTCTGAGTACAGCGTGCCATGTCACAGCACTGCGTGTGCTTGTTCCACCTTCTCTTTGCTTCCTAAATGCTCTTCTCCCCCTCCCCGCTCACCATTTTTTTCCTGCTCCTGTTTCAGAACTGACTGTGGCTCCTCTTGTTTCCTTTTCCAGACACAGAATTCACTCTGCAGCAGGCCCTCCATCAGTCTGTCTTCATGCCTTCCCTGTCCTCTAACCCGACCCACCGCCTCCATCTCTGCTGGGAGCAGCATTGCAAGCTGCTACCGGAGGTTTCAGGCCTTACTGCCAAGCATGTGGCCAAATGGACCGTGGAAGAGGTGAGTCACTTGCTGTATGTCTACCTGTTCTGTATGTTACGCTTGAGGGAATCTCAGGTCTCCCTTTTTTGTAGTGCTAATTAGAAGACATCTTTTTTTTCCCTCTCTCCTATATAGGCACTGATTTATCTATTTGTTTGCAGCTCTGGCATATACAGGAAAATACTGGCTCAGCAAGAAGTTTTACACAGATTCCTGAAAAAAAATCTGTATTAACCTTTTCCTGTCAAACCTGTGGGGCTTCCCTGATTCCAGTTCTTTTTCTGGCCACCTGTATTTGACCCTTGTAGTCTTAAAACACGATGCTGGCAATAAATACTGGGTACCCCTGATGGTTTTTCTACCCTGACTTTGGTGGTGCTTCACTTTTACAATGCAGGCAGTAGCAAAATTATATGCGTGGCTTCCTTCTTCCTCTTCCTGTCTGTTTCACACACAAAACAAAACCGTCCACAGTATAACCTGATTTCCAATAGATATAGTCATGCAGCCGGGGATACATTTTTTCAGCCTTAGCTTATGAGATGCAGCACTCCTAAATAAGCATTGTCCCATGCAATCAGGTAATATGTGATACAATACGTGTGTGCGTGCTGAGTTGTTATCTTTGCCTCATTGCCTGGGGCATAAGTAGTATTTGCAGCACCGGCTAGGAAGTAGCAGCAACTTGACTCCTGGAGTGTAATTTCTAGGCCTTTTATGCAAGAGAAACATGTTGTAAGGTAGATGGTTACAAGGTGCAAGGTGACCTGGAAAGCAGAAAAAAAGTTTATGCCCTTTATTTTGCTGCTTTATGGTGCATAGAAAATCTTAGAGGTTTTCCAAAAGTGTTTTCTTCACTGTCTTCTATCATCAGAGAAGTTAGATCTTGACTTAGATCTTTATTCTGTAGAGCTCCTTGGAGTCTAGAGGGATTAAAATATCACAAGAGACTGAAGCCTGTGAGCAGGTATGAGGTAGAATATGTTGTCTGTTTAAAACTCAGTATTTCTCTCTCTTTCTCAGTGAAAATTACATTCGTAACAAGTGAGTGGGAGAGAATCTGTGTGAATGATTGACCATCCCTGTGCCTTCCTTTGGGAGTCGAGAGAGCTTCCAGGCCAGTTTTCCAGAAAGTCCTGTAGTCAGATTGGGGAAAACAAAGATTGTTACTCTGCTGATGTAAAAACAAGTGGAATGTTTTCTTATTATGGTCAAAATGTTAGGGCTGCTTCATCAAGAGCAGAGTTAAGCAGAAACCAAATAAGAACTGCCTTTTACAGCTGACTTTTAAAGGCAGTGTAGGGTGATTTTAACTGGGGTATTAAATTGGTAACAGGCGAACATAAACACAGAGCACTGTGAGTGTGGAGCAGTATGATCCTGAGCTTTGAACCCCCAAAGGCAGTGGACTGTGGTCTGGCTGCAGTCTGTTAAATGGTATGTTAGTAACCACTTGAAAGATGGAGACGTGAGGGCTCCATGTAGAAGGAGATCAATTAAAGTAACACAGGACATTTCCTACAGTCATAAACATTTTGGTCATAAGTGCTAACAAAAGAGGCCCCATTTTGTGAGTCTTCTACATCTGGAATTCCCAGAGAGATTCCCAGCAATCAGTGAGGTTTCCATTTAAGTAGAACTTGCGGGATCAGGATGTGTGATGAAATATAGCCTGAGGCCTAGGAAGTTGATAAAAAGTTAGGAAGCTTTACTACATGTGGGCACTACCTAGATCTGGTTTGTTGGAATGTGGACTTCTAACACATTTTACAAAGCAAGAGTTTGTCCTAGTTGGTCCTTGGGGTCTTTGAACTCTGGCAGAGAGAGATCCTTCACCTAAAACGGTAGGCACCACAGTGTAGAATTTTCTTCTCATTTGAAACTAAATATCTGTTTTTATTTCATGAAATTTACATTTAAGGAATAAAAGTTTTCTTCAATCTCCACTAGCTGAGGCTTCTTTATAGAGCTTCCCCCAACCCTGTGTCTCCTGCTGATTTTTGATTTTTTTTTTTTAATTTTTTTTTTAAAAGAAGCCCTGGGTGTTTTCTCCCGTTAACAAGGTGTAGCTAACTCGGAGCCAACCTGAGTTCACTCCTCAGTGATGCTCTCCTAAGAGAGCCTGAGCACAGCTCTGAGAAATGCACTTGGGGCTGCTGCAAGCCATCTACTGTGCCTCATTGCCAATCTCTGGAGTGCCCAATACAGCAAGTGCGTGGAGCTTATTTCATTGGTGGCAGATGCAGGGTCAGGAGGGAAGCCATAGAGTGGCCAGCAGCAGTTGGGCCCAAGCAAAGATTTCCTTGCAGTAACACTGTCCAGTCAACAGGAGCTGTAATTTGTATGTAGGCATGCTATATACAGAAAGCTTGCTGTTATGTTGTCAAAATAGGAGGGATTTAGTTTCAGAAGTATACTAATACATGACAAAGAGTTGAACTGCTCATTAGTTAATCCTGCATGAGATGTTAATACGTGTGTGTGGGGGCGTGGGAGGGAGATGTTAGGACTGTCCTTGTGCAGAATGCATATGGATTACAAAGCCCTGCTCCTATTTGCATTTTTCCTTACAGGTTTGTCAGTCATACTTTAGTTTGGTGTTAAAAGGAGTTTGCAGAGTAGGTTTGACACCAACATTAAACTAACCTTTGCAAACAAAACTCAGTAAAAGAGAGAGAATTAAATATGCTAGTCAGTGGCAACATCTACACTTGTGCTTAAGTGTGGAGTGGACTAATTAGCTGTGGAGTAAAGCATCACCATCTACATGTGCAATGGTATTAGGCCACAGTAAACTAATTAATGCTAGGGGTGTGTGAAACGGGCCAGATTCAATTTGTTGATTCGAATCACTGTCCCAATTCGATTCAGCCGAATCCAAATATGAATATTCAGTGCTGATTCAGAGAATCAGCGATTAGGCCATGGACACAGCTTTAAATGTTTTTTTTCTACATACCTCAAGGTGCAAGGGGTGGCTTGTGAACACTGTGATGCTGGGGCAGATGGAGCATCCCACAGGAGTGCAGGGGGCCCCACCGCATGTTTGGCAGTGAACCTGGAAGTGGAGTAGAAGTACTTCTAGTCCACTTCCAGGTTCACCGCCAAGCACAGGGGGGATGCCCCCCCAGCTCAGTGATAAGCCATGGGGGGACCCCAGGAGGCCTGAGTCGCAGAGCCTGGAGGGTGCAGGGGGGCCCCCCAGCCAGAAGTGGACTGGAAGTGCTTCTGGTCCACTTCTAGGTCTGCTGCTGAGAGTGCTTGGGATCCCCCCGCGCTCATGTGGGACACTCAATCCACCCCAGCGTCTCCGCATTCACAAGCTGCCTGGTACCTTGTGGTATGTAGAAAAAACATTTTGAAGATGTGTCTGTGTCCAAATCATTGAATCTTTCTGAATCTCTCCGAATTGATATGGAAGGTTCCAATTCCTGGAGTAGTTTACTCCAGCTCAAACTGCTCCAGAGTTATTGCTTTGAATTAATTGCACACTTAGATGCATCCAGTGTCTATCAGAAGAAAAGTAATTTTAAAGATGTCAGAGTTATGATGATTTCAATAATGGCTCAAATCTGACCTCACCGCAACTGTTAGGGACAGTTTTCTGGAACTTACTAGGTTCTTTAGAAATTGCTCTAAAACCTATGGATACAGACCTTCTCTTTTCCTTCCTTGGCATACAAACCCATGTTCTTGGGACTGCTTCCTTGCAGATATTATGCATACAGAGAATGCTGTTGGAAGGAAAGGCCAAGCTAGGGTTTACCTTCTCATAGAAAAGTCCCTTCCAAAAAAGAGTTCTTGTCAGTCTTTAAAGTAATATCCCCCTCAAATTTATAATACAAATCTACGAAGTTTCACAGAATGCAGTGTCCTCTGGCCTCTTCCTTCTTGAAGGTTTACCTATGTTCCAGAGCTTCTGGTTGCAACTGTCACCCTCCCACTGACCCAGGGGTTTCTTCCACTGCATTCCTGGCCTCTCAAGGTTTTCCCTAAGATCCCCTCCAGCTCCTGGTGGTGGCATGTAGCTCCTTCCCCTTACTTGAGAGATTCTACAGTCATTCTTCAGGAGGCAGCACCACAACTCAGGAAGGTTCCTCTAGACCACCACATTTCCAGGTTCAGGTCCCACTCCAGAGAACCTCCTTTGGGCTAAGGCATGTCTTGATTCAGGGCCCCCACCAACTTACTCCTCTAGCTATGCTGTGAATCAGGCAGGCTTCCTCAGCCCACCAGTATCCAAGTGTTCCTGCTCATCCTTTCCAGGAACAGTTGCCTGACTTCAGTCTCCATTGCCTATTTAATCTACTCTGTCAGTACTTCTCAACCTTTTTAGACTCAAGGCACCCCTCAGAAAATGCCAGTTTTTAGTTTTCACTTATTTCTTGACTGGAAAAATGATAGAGCAGTTCTTCTGTTGCAAGAAACTCGGAGGGTGCACCTACACATGCACTTTACTGTGGAGTTAACTAATTGATTCCTCTGTAAAGCATCACTGTTTACATGTGCGCCAGTATTAGGATGCAGTAAACTAATTAACTCTGCCGTAGGATAGTAGGATCAGGGACAGTACTGTCATATGGCGGAGTACTTTACAGCTCTGAAACACACACGTAGATGGTGACCAGGGGCATAAATTGCACCTGGTCAGCCCAGCCATCCAGGGGTCTGCTCCTGGACTCGCTTGTACACGCTGCACCTGGGAGCAGTTTCACTCTGGCTCAAAGTGCTCTGGAGTTTATCACATCACATTAATTGCATGTGTAGATGCACCCAGAAAGACCACAGCAGGTCAGAATGTTTTTGATGCTATGGATTCCTATTTGAAATTTCTGGATTTATCTTATGAATTATGTAGGTGTTCGCACACCTAATTGTGATAGTTACACAACACAACTCTTAAAAGGATCTTACAGCACCCGAAGATGCTATGGAGAATCACTATACTATATCATAGCTAATATTCTCTATTAAATTCAGTAGGGCAATTCAGAAACCTGTAGGAAGGTGTTTATATTGTTTTAAATTCTATGAGACTTATTTTGTAAAGGAAACCCAGGGACCATTAACTGTCCTCATAACTTAGGCTGGATTTATCTTTTCATACAGTAGATCCAAATGTGCTTCCTGTAAAAGTTAATGTATTTGCTCCCCTGAAAAAGCTTTCCCTGCTGGCATGACACTAGTTAAATACTGTTCCTGATCCTGACACGTGTTGTACATCTACAATTACACTGAAATCAGTGGGGGTTACTGGAACTGCATGCCTCATAAACATAAGCAGTAGGGGTGTGTGAAACAGGCCCTATTCAATTCAGATTTGGCCCGAATCAGGGACAGTGATTCAGATCACTGTCCCCGATTCGATCTGGCTGAATCTGAAGATTCGATGCCGATTTAGAGAATCAGCAATTCAGCCATAGACACAGTTTTAAATGTTTTTTTCTACATACCTTGAGGTACCAGGCACGGCTCATG